TTAATTCAAAGATTTATAAATTTACCTAGGAAAATATTTTTTTTTTCAGTTTAAAAGAGATAGAAATGTATCTAATTTTTTAAAAAGTCAAATTAAGTATTATTCTTAAGCTTATAACTTTGGTAGAAATACATTTGGGATGTTGAAAAATATATGCTGATACTGGGGAGTACAAATAAAACGCTTTTTCAAAAATCTTCAACCAAATGATTGTATGCTAATGAATCTAATAATAGCTGCTGTCTAGCCTATTCTAATAATAAATAGTATCAATTTGTATTTATATATGACTTATTTCACATGTACTATCTCCCCTAATCTCAGTGTCATATCAGGCTATTCTATGACATTTCACAGAAAGACATCTATTTGTAACAAATACTATTGTAATACATTTCTCCGATTTTTAAATATTTAAAAATAAACTAGAATTATTACTAGCCACATTCCAAAAAAGAGTATGCTAATTAAAAATCCCTTTGGATAGGATATTCTGTATAACACAGTACAGCAATTAAACCCTTCAGTTTTTGTTTGTTTAAAAATGGAGATTGAACGAAAAACAATGTACGAAGAGCCAAGGAATGTGAGTAAAGCTGCTTCTAAATTCAAAGAAGATAAAATCCTGAAACATACTATCTCCCCCCAGTCACAATCTCTACACATATTTGGAAAATAATAAATCTCTGAAGAAAAATTTTTAAAGGAAACAATAATGTGGACTTTGGCACATTAGAGGTTGAAACGTTGATGCTTTTTGTCACTATAAATTCAGAACTAGACTGTACCAATTATGATTCCTCCCCCAATGGTTTCACACATTCTATCATGAAAAGCTTAGATTTTATTGATGTGAATTATCCCATATCGATAAAAACAATTATGCTGATTTTAAAGTATTTTTAAGCTCAGCTAATGATGTGCTCTTACTGTCACTGTTTTGGAAATAAAGCTAGAGAATACTCCATCTTTTTTATTAACTAAAACAGATGGTTATTATTTGCATGTAGAACATTTGTGTATACTATAAATAAATATGTAGTAGAGCTAAAAAAAATGCCACTGCTGACCACTCCCTTTCTGAAAGCCTTCTGTTATCTCTCTTTCCGAGAGTCTCCCCAAACCCATAATTACCTTCCACTCTTTTCAAGCTATACCTCCTTTTGCCCTTTAAAAAACACATGCTTCTCAGAATTTCCTTCTTGCCTTATGACTTATCATTACATAAATAATCCTTGGGTGACTATTTCCCCTCCCAGAGCTCCAAATTCATCTATGCAATAATGAGCCCGAAATTTACTCTTAGCTCAGTTATCTTTTCTAAAATTCAGACATTTTCACCTGAATCTGTTACAGACACGTGAAACTTAATAAGTGCATTGTTGAGCTCAGTATTTTCCCACTCTATTTCTACATCTCCTTTATTCAGTATCCACATAAATGGCAATATCATCAACCCCTAGAAGCAAAGTGAAACTAGTTCCTCTAATGCAAAACTTTTAATCATTTGCCAAGTCCTATATACTTTATTGCCAAAATATATTTGAAATTTTCATCTCTTGCTAATGCCCTTCACTACTGTCTTATTTTAGTTCCTAATCATATTTTGTCCTAATTACGTTTTAATTTGTATCCACTGACGTTTACTCTGTACTATAAAGTGAAATTGGTCTTAGTAAATGCCAAAATGTGAATATTGTCACAGTCACCATTACAGTATCATACAGGAACGTTTCACCACCTAAAAAATGTCTTATGCTTCATTCACCCATTCAATCATCCTCTGACCCCAACCACTGGCAATCACTGGTCTATAAGGCCTCTAGTTTTTCTCTTCCCAAAAGATCATATAAATGGAATCATACAATTTGTAGTCTGTTCAACTGGCTTTTTTCATTTAACACTATGCATAGACAATTCATCCATGTGTTTGCATGGTGTGACAATTCATGTCTATTTACCACTGAAAAGTATTGCATTATATGGAATTTCCCCAGTCTGTTTATCCATCCCCTTATTGAAGGGCATCTTGCTTGTTTTCAGTTTTTGGTGACTATTAATAAAACTCCTATAAACATTTATGTGCAGGTATTTTGTGTGAGCACATATTTTGAGATCACTGAGGTACATGCCTAGGATTCCAATGTCCTGATTATATGGTGAGTGGCTGTACCACTTGCCTTCCTACAAGCAATGAGTGAACATTCCTGTTTTCTGGATCCTCACCAGTAATTGACATTGTTTTTACTTTTTTGTTTTTCTGGATCTTAGCCATTCTGATATGTGTAGTGGTATCTCATTTTATTTATAGGTCCATTTTTAATATGAGGTCATACATCCCTGTGAAAGCTATCATCCTTTTATTGCCCTCAACAGCCAGTTTTTAAACATATGGCTGTGTTTCCTAGTTAAACACACCCAAGATAATCCATCTATTAAAAAAATGAATGAAACAAACAGGGAATGCAGCCTGGGTCTTCTCTTATTTCTTTAATCAGTTTTGCTGGTTCAAATAGCAGCAACAACATAAAATGTGCTCATAACCTATAGTTTAATTACCCTCATTTTCTGTAATCATTATCAAGTCAGGGTGCCAAAGAGCTCCTATTGTATAATGTGATACTCATAGACAAAGGCCATAACCAGAGAAAACTGTAGAATAACATACTAAATAATGAAATAATGAAGTAATATTCAATGTAAGTATTACCAAGTAACAAGAACATAATAAGGCTGTACCTTCAAAATAATGTTAAAATAAGGATGTGAAGGTGAAAGATTTTAAATATAATTATCCTTTATAACTAATTCTTTCAAGTATTTAATCAATTTTAAACAGATATTTACAGAGAAATTAATCAATTAAAAATAACATATATGCTTCATATTAAATGCAGATGATTAAAAATCAAATTTCATGTAAAAATTACAAATGTCCTCTTTTTTTCAGCTTTGTCCATAACATTTGAGCAGCCACTTACCTCCAAAATCAGCTGTATTGTTCCTATCTTCCAATGTTGCATTTTACTCTATGGAAAGAGCAGCGCCTTCATTCCTGTATGAGCTGGAAATGTAACAATCATGGACCCTGCCTCAAACTGAGTCTTTTCATCTTCCCACAACCACAGTATAATACCTCCTTTGCAATGACTGTTTATTTGGGAGAATAATGCTGGGCCAGTATAAGAAAATAAAACTTTAAAGCGGATATTACAGACTACCATTCTCTCTTCACCTAACTTTGTCAGATTAATAAATAAAAATACTAGCTAAATTTAAATTTTAGATAAAATATTGCATGGAACGTACTGGAATAAAAGCAATTATAATATGTGTTGTTTATTTGGAATTCTAATTTAACTGGGCACCCTTTATTTCATCTTGCAAGCTTATCTCCAGTCCATTCAGTGAGTTTATGAGTTCAAGAGTAGAATGACATTGAGAAGGTAAAAGAAATAGACTAGATGAGCAGGGAAGATGGTAATACTGCATAGAAAGAAGCTAAGATACAATAAACTATTTGAAGACTCTTCATTTCTTTTTTAACTAACCATAATATAATACTGATGGACCAGGATTTTCATTTAACCATTAATGTCTCTGAAACTATTCATTTTTTCACATTTTCACATGTGTCTTTATCAACATTTTATAGAGGTCTCATCCTACCTTTCATGTCTCTTAAACCTGTTTTCTTTGTGATTTTTTTTTCTGTAAGCAATGATGCTCACATATAATAATAATACATCAATAACTGTTTTGTTTTGAAGTTAATTACTAGTATTTCAACAAGGAAGAGGCTTTTATGTATGTTTTAAAAAACATTTAGATACGTGTGAATGTTATAGTTATTACATGGAAACACAATATGCACTGATATGACTGATATACTAGATTTTTCTCTCTCTATAAAGACACTCTTTGAGTTTCAAAGTTTTTGAGCACAATCTAAATTGAGGATTACCTTTTTGGTTTTAAAGAGGACTCATCCATCATACATAGTTGAAGTTACACTGGTAGCACTTAATAACAGAATACATAGCCACTGAGTTAAATCTAATCAAGAAGAAATGCTACTTGTATAAGCATTTAAATCATCACTACAATTTAAATTCTACACATCCTTAAATTAAAACAAAAAAGTTTCTGGCATATTAATTTTTAGCATTCTGATGGTATTACTCCAAAGAACATAAACTACTTTTGCAGAATAAAATATCTCATTTTAGACCCAAGATATAGAACAATAAAGTTGATTAAAACAACTTTAGAGAAGACGAGGCAATCAAAAAACTACATTGTGTTAGAGATGCCTTTAAATGATTGTGTGTGTGTAATAAAGGCATCACGGTTCTGATTTTAGATGGTGAAATTTAGCATTGTAATGAGACTTTTTTAAAAAAATAATTACCTGCTATGAAATATGTATTTATACTGGAGGTGCCAAAAATGTATACAAGTAGACTCTTTGGTCAATGTTGCTCAAGCAGTAATTTGCCATGACCAGAAGTGTCTGGACGCTGATGGTAACCACTTTGAGCACCTCTTGTAATTGCAGAAGTCAAATGTGACTTGTGTTCATCTTTTGTTATCGGTATATATTGAGTATTACAATTTTAATACAGTTTTCCTTTCTTAAAATGTGTATATATATATATATATATATATATATATATATATATATATATATATATATATATATATATATATATATCCAAATATTCTGAAGGCTAACAATGGTTTATATTATAAATAAAAGTCAATGAGGTTGAGTGGATACTCATTTCATTAACATTTATATAGTATTTTTCTAAGCATTTTATTATGTTGCATTGTATATAACTTTTTGAAATGCTAACAAAGGTTTAAGGATTGTTTTCTCTTTCTTTTGTTGAAATTTATAAATAGTGATATAAATTTAAAAGAAAGCCTGAGGGTATCTTGTAATGAAGACTTTTATATGTTTTTTGTTATTTGATACATAAGGCAGAATTTTTTACCTGAAAGACACCCAGCGATTGACAGAAACAGAATTAGTTTCCAGGAGGAAGCCATCCTTCTTCACGAAGATTTCCTGTCTCAGTGTGTTTAGCAGCTGTAAGGTTTCTTCATTAAAGAATGCTCTGTTGAGATAAATAACATTTTCAAAAAAAACAGGAAATAAATGGAAAAGTAAACACAAAACAATTTAAAAAAATCTCATAATAAAATGATAAATAACTTTTAGTACAAAGGTCAGATTAATATATACTTTGATATTGACAACAATAATACAATTTCCATTAGAATTAATTTAACGTATATCACAAAAACTTCGGAGAAGTGATAAACTTTGCCTATCACATTTATTTATATTGAATACTCCCTAGCAGATAATAAAAACATCAGGCTCTAATGGGAATGATTTTTCCTCACAGGGAATGTATAAGAGCTACATTTATTACATTAGACAAACTATTGGACTAGAAAAATAGGGTAGAGGAACCAGTTACATTAATATATACTCCTGTGGTCTAGAACATAACTAATGATCAGTTAGCCAAGTGACTTTACACATTGTGCCTGCGGCTCATCTAAACCTCCACAGGGAATTTTTCTCATTTAGTATTAATGTCAATTGCTTTTGTTTATAACTCCTGTGATTATCTGCATTATGTTGTAATTCCCTCCTTTGGTGAACTATTCCTCTCAGCATCTTTTGACCCGGAACCTAAGGGATATAAGGAATTTCATGAATATTTAACTTTTTTGAGTGTGTGTGTGTGTGTGTGTGTGTGTGTGTGTGTGTGTGTCTAATGCCATTTTTATAACAGTAACTAGTATAGCACATTAATGTCCTTGGTTAATTTATTTGTCCTGAAATATACAATAAGCATAAAAGATATAAAATTATAGCATGAAATTTCCTGCAAGAACTTGACAAATGTGCATTAAAAATTCCTAAAATTGACTAGTAACTTCTGAGTTTTTAGGTGTTGATGTCCTTCTTGGTGAAAAATAATTAAACTGAGAAATAATTGTACAGTGTATTTATAATTTTTAAATAACAATTGCTTCTTGGCAACTGGTTCCTCCCTATAGACTTAGAGGTTCAGGTTTTCTCTGTCTTTTAGGAAACATCTTATATAGCCAAGCATTTTTACCCCAGTTGGTCATAATTTAGAATAGCCACACCAAAGAGGGAAATCTCTTGTTAGTGAGTCTTCTACCTGAATAATGGTAATTCCTCTTTATTTATAGTTTTAAATCTAAGGCTTGGTAAACTATTTTAATTACATGGCTAGGGGATTAGAATGGAGAAGAAATTTATTAAGAGTTAACAATGGTGGACTCACTGTCGCCCCTTCAACAAAGACATTTTTCATCACTTTTTTTTTCCTAAGTAAATATCAGAAATAAAATTTGAAGTATAAAAAATGATGTTTTGGTTAATTTTTTACAACTTAAAACATTTTTATTATTTATGCACTGCCTTTTTACCAGAAAGGAAAAAGAAGAAATTCAGCACTTCACATGTAACAATTAGAGAGACTTAAGATTGCTAGAACTACAATTATGATTCATGAGAGATGCATATTTGAATTTGTGGATTTTCAATCCACAATGAAATTGGCCTTCTTTAGATCATGAGTTCTAAGAAGCTAATATAGTTTTGCTTAACTTGTGCCTCAGTACACTTTCCCAAAACTCTATTTCCCTCTCTATTTACAATATCCTCTGTTGTCTTAAGCATTCTTTATCAACAAATGCAAATATTTTCAGAGCCCTTATATGTTGTACCCTGAAAATGTCAAAGAGAAAATGTACATTTGCACGTGCATGCACACACAAACACACACACACACACACGCACACACAGAGAAGTTAACCACAGGATATGAGCCAAATAAGCGGGACACTGTAAGTGTCATATAGCTAGCTATAGAACTATCAAAAGGGGAATCTACACGTAAGGATGGCAAGAATTAGGAATGGTACAGAAAAATTGTTAGTGAAATTTGAAAAAGACATTGAACAAGACAAATATCTTACTTTTGAATGGGACAGTGTGGAGAGCACAATGAGAACATGAATACATAAGTTAATATAAGAGAGTGATCAAACTATGAAGAAATTAACACAGAGTGAAGGACAGTGAGTGACTCGAGGATAGAAGGAGCTACTTTATCAGGGATTCATGGAAGGCATTTGCGACACGATGACACTTAGATCCAGTATTCATGTTATCAACATGCCATTATAAAATAATCCTTATGCATATATTTTGGCATATTTTTAAAATTATCAAGTAAAAATAGTACAGTAAAATTTATTATTAAAATAATCCAAATTTATGTCAAAATCTCTTCAAATAAAAAGAAGCCTGCATGTATCTGTGACTGGTTGTGAGTGGTTGTGTGTGTGTGTGTGTGTGTGTGTGTGTGTGTGTGTGTTTCATTTTCAAGCATCATTGATTGGGGCTTAAATACAAAAGAAAATACTTTCTCAAAAGCTGTTCTTTTTAAGATATCTAAATTAGGTTCTTCCTTTTCACTGTCCTTCCTTTGCATTCTCTCTCTCAATCGCTCTCTCAAAGTAACATTAAAAAGTAAATGAACTATTCTTTAGGTTCTTAAATACATAAGCTTTAGTATGCCTCTACTGAAAACACAATTATTCAATGACTTTAATAAAATTCCTGTATTAAAGTAATAAAATAATGTAATTAATCAGGCCTATATTAAGTTCCTACTACATGCCAGGTTAAAGTACAATCAGTTAATGAATGTTACTACAGCATATTGGGATGTATGCCTTAATGGAGACTGACAGTTGCACATTAAACTGCTGTTCATCAAGAGAATGAAAAGTCATAAATACTAATTTGGAAACTACTAATCAGATACAGTTTTACAAACTCACATTTTTAAAAGAGCTTATTTCATTGTTTGGACTATATATCTATTATCACCCATGATATTCAAAGAAAAATATACAAAATCACATCATATTACTTTGCATTTTTCCCCTAAATTATTACAAATATTTGCAAGTAAAATAAGTAGATCATTGCTCTAGTATTAAGCCATACATTCTAAATAGTAAATGCATTGTACAGTTGATTGCATAGACAAGTTTTTTTTTAAATCATATCATTATTGGAGTCTGAAATAGAATTGCAAAACATATGCTATATAAAATATATCAAGTGATAGTATGTTGCCACTTGAATACAAATTAGTTTTTGTTTTTTTTTCTTAAAGATGCATACAGGGAACTGCCTTGTTAAAGACATGTGTATGTAAGTATGTAAAGAGAAAGAGAGATATTGAAGGAGAAACATTTCTATCATTGCTTGCTGATCTCTCTCCAGTTCTATGGAAAATATTTCCTACAGTTTGACTCCTTATAGGCTATTCACACAGCAGTTAGAATTATATTTTAAGACATAAATCAGGCTACATTATTTCCCTGATTCAGTGGTTTATTTTCTAAGTAAAATCCAATTTCCTTATATATAGTCTACAAGATCAAGATGTTGTCTTAAAATGAGTATACATTTTTGGCATCCCTGGTAAATACTCTGGTACCCATCTAACTTCCTGATTTCATCTTCTAACATTCTAGACTCCAATCCCATCACGCGGACTTTCCTGTTGCTCATCAAATGTGCAATGCACTCACTGTCTCCTCATTTCCTTTGCCTTAACGTCTCTACCATCAAGTCTTAGGAGGCTGTATAGCTTTAAATGATTGACACCTCTGCTCTGCAAGTCTTCTTTTTTTCCCCCAGTGTAAAAGCCTTTCTTGATCACTCTTCTTAAAATAGCAAGTTTCCCCCCACTGTTCCCTGTCAACCATGTCACTGGTTTTTATTACATTGTCCCTGCCTTATTTTTCTTAGCAATTATTAGTGCTTGAGGTTATGCAATTCATTTTTTATTTTTATATTTTTTTACTTTTTATGTATCTTTTTCTACTACTTGGATATAATAGCCATGAAAGCAAGAATTTTATGTCCTTTTCATCTCTGTAGACCCAGACTCTATACCAGAACCTGCCTGTTTTTAATAAGTATTTAGTTAATATTTTTAATAAAAATTATTAAATAAAGTGGTGCCTCTCGTAAGTAAATTATTTGGCAGAAGGTAATACAAGAGAAAAAAATCACTATGTCTTAAATTTCTGTAATTCTAGCAACAGCTACCATTTATGAAATTCTATGTGCCAGGCACTGTGTTATGTACTTTATCTACCCAACCTCTATTAATTAACGTGACATCTCTTATTCATGAAGATAACTTGCCCAACTCACACAGCTAGTTAAAGCCAGCGCTGAGGTAAGAATAAAGTAGGCCTTTAAGCTACATCATCTCTTACAGAAGAACTTCACAGCAATCGCTACAAAAGTCTCTTGAAGCTCTCTTATCTGACACAACTGGGGCTGGTATTAAGTTAAAACAAAAACAAAAACATACACACATGACATTTAATTATTGTTGTCATTCAATTAATATAATTTAACTCTACATTCTTTGGCTAATCTTATTATATGGGAATAATATCTTTTTTTCTTTTTCTGATGATCAATATTCTGGTGGAAAAAAATTCCTTTTATTTAAATATCATATGAGTCTTTTCTATATACATCCTGCCTGTAGTGTATTATATACAACTTTATTATCTTTAAAGTGCTATAAGAACATGTGAAGTGGCCTCATAAAAGCATCCTTGAAGGTTTTTATAATTTTTATACAGTTTCTCACACACATCTAATAGTGTAGCATTTTCTAAGTAACTAATTTTATTGAGTTTGTCCAAGACTATTAGGCTTTGGGATTTTTTAAATCTTTCTTTCTTTTTCTTTCTTTCTTTCTTCTTTCTTTCTTTCTTTCTTTCTTTCTTTCTTTCTTTCTTTCTTTCTTTCTTTCCTTCTTTCTTTCTTTCTTTCTTTTCTTTCTTTCTTTCTTTCTTTCTTTTTCATACAGCCAATACTCTTATTCTCACACTCAATATGCACTCATATGTCACTGATCTGCATTATGTTTATTTGAATTACCTAGTTACATGAACATGTTCAACCTCCATAAACAGATGGAGGAGACAATAAAGGATGTTAGTTACTTGGCAAATTAGAACAATG